GGAGTCGTAACATCATACACCAGACTGCAGTGAGCGAGCAAGCAATCAAAGTGACATCTTCTTTGTGCAGGCTGCTCACTGAAGCTTGTGACACGAGGCTGACACAGTGTGTCATTCTCTCGACAGTTGGAGTTATAGCAGAGGTTAGTCTAAGCGTCCCCAGACTTGTTTCTCTACATATAACTGCACTCTGAAGGTCTGGAGGTGAAGTGAAACAAATCTCGATGGGAATCGTAGCAGGTACGATTCTGCAGAACATCACGAGCGACGAGCATAAAAGCTTTCTGTACACGAGGGCTCGGTCACTCGGGTCTGTCTTGACATCAGCTGTCATACGCACTGGTCACATCGGGTGACTTAGCACAGTGGTGCTACTCAGGTCTGGCTCAGACCTCACTGGACACACCGCGGTACATGCGGTACACTAACATGTGAGAACACTGACTGAGAGGAATTAACACACAACATATATCTTCTGTTAATCTTCTCAACAATACTGAAATAATTACTAGAAGCACTCGATGTGACATCATGTGATGTCAGGTGTGATGTCGCGAGGTGACGTCAGCAGCACTGTGACGTCAGCAGACATCTCGAGGTGACGTCAGGCAGACATCGTGGCGTCATGAAGTCGGGGAGCATCGTCAGTGACGTCAATGTGATGCAGGCAGCAGACCACAGCATGTGGCCTGGGACATCTGGTAACTCATGTGGCTGGTAGATCCACGTGACATCGCCCACACCCAACGTGGCGTCGTGATCCACATGGCATCGTGATCTATGTGGCATGCTGATCCACGTAGCTTCGAGTGGCCTCGGGCCCTCGGATACACAGCACTGGCGACGAATTCACACGAAAAACAGCAGAAAACACAGCAGAGGAAGTGAGCAGTGGTGAGTGTATGGTAGACGGGTGAGCGTGAGTAGGGCGAGCATGTGCAAGGTGAGGAACGGCCACTTCCTCCCCTTCTCTCCTACCCACAAACACGTGGAGAATCTCACACTGGATGCAGAAATCACCACGAAACTCACCTCTGGCTTGCTGAAACAGCTGTGCTGAGCTGAACAACAACAGCAACATACAAGTGACGCTGAACACGTGACTTGAGAAACAGCATGGGACGCTGTAGCGTGGAGTCACAATTCTCGAAGAATTCCAGCAAATTTCGGCTGGATCCTGCTTGTACCTGTGTCTGGATGCTCAGACGTGCAGACATGACATCAAGATAACTCGTTGAGAGACAGATGCTTGTTGTGTAGGGGGATGAAGTGAACAACTTCATTCATTCCTTCCTTCCTTTCTCTGGGCAAATACACTGCTGCGACCACCACTGCTACCAATGTTTAATGGGTTTGTTTGGTAGAGCTGAAAGCGGGTGGTTAAATGATACGTCTTCGGAGGCTGCCACCATTTATAAAAAGGATTATTTGGTGTTCTGGTAGCGGGGAGTAAATGATACGTCTTCGGAGGCTTCTTACTTTATTGTTAAGTCGTGGTGGGTACACAGGCTTGTGTGTTTGTGCCCATGGCCCAGGCAGGGCCATCCCACGAGAGAGAGCTGGGAGTACTTGTGTCTTCCTGCTAGGCCGCTGTGAGAGTGAGAGCGAGGCAAGGGCAGACAGGCTGGCGTGCCTACCGAGAGGCCTGACTACAGAGGGCAGCATCTGAGTGGCGCAAAATATGAACTAAGCTGGCAGACAGCATGGGCTGTCTGTGCAGACAGTACAGGCTGTCTACACTAGTAGTGGCCAGCGAAGAGGCGCGGCCAGGAGCTGTGACTCATCCCCTGTTACCACAACTAGGTGACTACAACTAGGTGAGTACACACACAACAAATACTGCACCAACACACAACAAACACTGCAGCAACACACAATACTGGAAGACAGGAGAGATAGGGAGGATATGATAACGACATACAAAATACTGAGAGGAATCGACAAGGTGGACAGAGACAGAATGTTCCAGAGATGTGAAACAGCAACAAGGGATCACAGTTGGAAGTTGAAGACTCAGATGAATCACTGGGATGTTAGGAAGTATTTCTTCAGTCACAGAGTTGTTAGGAAGTGGAATAGTCTGGGAAGTGATGTAGTGGAGGCAGGATCCATAGATAGCTTTAAGAAGAGGTATGATAAAGCTCATGGAGCAGGAAGAGTGACCCAGTAGCGGCCAATGAAGAGGCGGGGCCAGGAGCTGTGAATGGACCCCTGCAACCACAACTAGGTGAGTACAGCCACAGCTAGGTGAGTAGCGACCAGTGAAGAGGTGGGGCCAGGAGCTTGGACTCGACCCCTGCAACCTCAGCTAGGTGAGTACACACACAGACATACACACACACACACACACACACACACACATACACACACACACACACACACACACACACACACACACACACACACACACACCCGAAACTGTTGTACAACCACATCAGGAGGACAACGACTGTCAAGGACCGGGTAATCAGGCTGAGGAAGGGGGGGAGATCACAGGAAACGACCGTGATGTGAGGAGCTCAACTTGAGATTCAAAGAATTATTTAGAGAGGAGACAGAAGGGACTCCAGAAAGGAGAGGTGAGGTACACCTTCAAATGTTGGACACAATACATACAACCGAGGAAGAAGTGAAGAGGCTGCTAAACAAGTTAGATACCTCAAAGGTGATGGGGCCGGATAACATCTCTCCATGGGTCCTGAGAGAGGGAGCAGAGGCGCTATGTGTACCATTAACAGCAGTCTTCAACTACAGACCAGTGTCACTGGCATGTATAGTATGCAAAATCATGGAGAAGGTTGTCAGAAGAGTGGTGGAGCACCTAGAAAGGAATGAGTTTATCAACGACAGCCAGCATGGTTTCATGGACAGGAAATCCTGTGAATCACAGGGATGTTTTGAAGTATTTCTTTAGTCACAGAGTTGTCTAGAAGTGAAATAGTCTGGGAAGTGATGTGTTGGAGGCAGGATCCATGCATAGCTTTAAGAAGAGGTATGATAAAGCTCATGGAGTGGGAAGACTGACCTAGTAGCGGCCAGCGAAGAGGCGGGGCCAGGAGCTGTGAATCGACCCTTGCAACCACAACTAGGTGAGTACACACACACACACAGATGACAGCAAGGAAATGAGTGAGCTACTCAAGTCCCAATATGACTCTAGCCGCTAACCAGACTGAGAGTCGAAGATCAAAATTAATTTTTTATGAGAGAGCCACAGAATTTGGTTAACACAAGCCTATCTGATGTTATCCTGACGCCAAATGACTTCGAACAGGCGATAAATGACATGCCCATACACTCTGCCCCAGGGCCAGACTCATGGAACTCCGTGTTCATCAAGAACTGCAAGAAGCCCCTATCAAGAGCTTTTACCATCCTATGGAGAAGGAGCATAGACACGGGGGTCGTCCCACAGTTACTAAAAACAACAGACATAGCCCCACTCCACAAAGGGGGCAGTAAAGCAATAGCAAAGAACTACAGACCGATAACACTAACATCCCATATCATAAAATCTTTGAAAGGGTTCTAAGAAGCAAGATCACCACCCATCTAGAAATCCATCAGTTACACAACCCAGGGCAACATGGGTTTAAAACAGGTCGCTCCTGTCTGTCTCAACTATTGGATCACTACGACAAGGTCCTAGATGCACTAGAAGACAAAAAGAATGCAGATGTAATATATACAGACTTTGCAAAAGCCTTCGACAAGAGTGACCATGGCGTAATAGCGCACAAAATGCGTGCTAAAGGAATAACAGGAAAAGTTGGTCGAAGGATCTATAATTTCCTCACAAACAGAACACAAAGAGTAGTAGTCAACAGAGTAAAGTCCGAGGCAGCTACAGTGAAAAGCTCTGTTCCACAAGGCACAGTACTTGCTCCCATCTTGTTCCTCATCCTCATATCTGACATAGACAAGGATGTCAGCCACAGCACCGTGTCTTCCTTTGCAGATGACACCCGAATCTGCATGACAGTGTCTTCCATTGCAGACACTGCAAGGCTCCAGGCGGACATCAACCAAATCTTTCGGTGGGCTGCAGAAAACAATATGAAGTTCAACGATGAGAAATTTCAATTACTCAGATATGGTAAACACGAGGAAATTAAATCTTCATCAGAGTACAAAACAAATTCTGGCCACAAAATAGAGCGAAACACCAACGTCAAAGACCTGGGAGTGATCATGTCGGAGGATCTCACCTTCAAGGACCATAACATTGTATCAGTCGCAGCTGCTAGAAAAATGACAGGATGGATAATGAGAACCTTCAAGACTAGGGATGTCAAGCCCATGATGACACTCTTCAGGTCACTTGTTCTATCTAGGCTGGAATATTGCTGCACACTAACAGCACCTTTCAAGGCAGGTGAAATTGCTGACCTAGAAAATGTACAGAAAACCTTCACGGCGCGCATAACGGAGATAAAATGCCTCAATTACTGGGAGTGCTTGAGGTCCCTGAACCTGTATTCCCTGGAATGCAGGCGGGAGAGATACATGATTATATACACCTGGAAAATCCTAGAGGGACTAGTACCGAACTTGCACACGAAAATCACTCACTATGAAAACAAAAGACTTGGCAGACGATGCAACATCCCCCCAATGAAAAGCAGGGATGTCACTAGCACGTTAAGAGACCATACAATAAGTGTCAGGGGCCCGAGACTGTTCAACTGCCTCCCAGCATACATAAGGGAGATTACCAATAGACCCTTGGCAGTCTTCAAGCTGGCACTGGACAAGCACCTAAAGTCGGTACCTGACCAGCCAGGCTGTGGCTCGTACGTTGGTTTGCGTGCAGCCAGCAGTAACAGCCTGGTTGATCAGGTTCTGATCCACCAGGAGGCCTGGTCACAGACCGGGCCGCAGGGGCGTTGACCCCCAGAACTCTCTCCAGGTAAACTCCAGGTAAACACAGGTGAGTAATAGGTAATAGGTGAGTACACACACACACACACACACACACACACACACACACACACACGAGATGATACCAAATGTTTTACAGAAATCTGAAATCAGAGGATGTGTATCTGTAATACATCTCTTCTATACTTTTTTTTACTTTTGTTGTAATGCAGCTATATTAAGCTGAAGGCACTAATGTGATTAGCACATACTTTCAGAGACGGCACTAGCGGAGATGGGGACGTCACTTCCCAAGGAGGGTGTTCACCTGGAAGACTTCAACCACCTGAAGTACACTATCAGCTTGAGAAGAGTGGGGCAGCAAGTGTTGTATCAGGTGTTCTTGTGGGGTTACATAGGAGGCTCCTGCACTCTTAAGAACACCCTCTTTGCCCTCCCTCACTACTCGCAAAACAAGTTCAGCAAAGATTTTAATAACTCCCAACGTGAAAGAATCACCAGAGATGATTCAGTATCGGAATTTGATATCACGTTAATTTACAAGCTATTACAGTTAGTGTGTGGCTTGAGTGATCCCAGTGATTCAGTGTGGACAACGGAAGCTTCAGACTCGTTGGAATTTTGCTTGCATGGTATCAAAAAAAAGAGAAATGAATTAGCTCACGAAAATATACGCCTTTCTCCTAATGAATTGGTTGATGAATTGAATGCTCTGAGAACTTTGTTCACTCGGACAATTCAGAAAGCTGGGCAAACATATTCTATAGGTAAGTGTGAAGTGAACTCTGTGTTAGTTTCCGTCAACCGACAGTTAGATGCTATCCGAGATTCTCGTGTGCCATTGGAAACAGAAGCTGAATACCAGAGAGAACTATTAGCAAGCAGAAAAGCTCGCTTGATTGAAGAAGCAGGAAGTGAATCTTCACAAATTTTTAATGGTATTTGTCAAGTAAATGTGGCGCCCTGGCTGATGGAGGGAAGAAGTGTGAATGTTATGAAGGTGTTCATACACCCTAAATTAAAACGGGATGAAACGCAAATAATGCAAAGACAGTTATCGGTGGAGGAAAGTTACTTGTCAGTCAGTGATGTGCTACAGGCAAGAGAGTGTGACGGAACACAGCCTCATGTCACTCTACTCTGTGCTCTGGGTGGCATGGGGAAATCAACACTCTTGAAATATATAATAGACAGAGGAATAAATAAGACAGGCGATGTGGAACTGACAGATAATTTTGACCAGATACTCTTCATGGAATGTCGTCGTGCATCATTTTCCTCTCTAGATGCAATGTTGGCTTTCCTTCTACCTCGCACGGCAGCACTGTTGCAGCAATCTGAATTTAAGCGTACACTTCTGTCGCTTAATTTGCTTGTAATATTAGATGACGTTGATGAATTAAACAAGACATCTTTTTCTGTTTTCGAGGAATTTTTAAAGGTGATGTCACCTGGTACTCGAGTTATAGCTACCACTTCCAGAGAGACTTCAAAAATTATTCAAAGACAAATCTCTGCATTGCACAAACGAGCACTCGTTTTGGAAATTGAAGGTATACCAGACAACCAAACCATTACATTTATACAGCGAAGCTTGAGTTATATTTTCCCTAGCAACACGCATCACCATGAAAGTGAGACAGAACTTTTCCAGCTGATAAGAACAAAGCGGTCATGCCTGCAGGAACATCTTAGATCTCCAGAAATTCTCAGTCTACTTGCTCTAAGCTGGACGTTTGCTCCTGAGCGTCTTAACGCATCGTCCACTCTCACAGAGATCTTCATGTTAGTGGAAGATCTTCTCGTACATAAAGTTCTGCAAAATTTAACAGGCTCGTCACCGTGCGCTATAAGCACACAATCTATTGTCAGGGTTAATCTACGAAAATTTTTGATTTCACTGACTGGAGTAGCGGCTGAGTGCTTGAGGGCCGGAAAATTCTACATCGACCCAGAAGATCTCGTAAATTTAGCTGTAGAATGTCAAACCTTAAAACTGCCCGAGGAATATTTAATATCGGCGTTTATGAACTACACAGACGAGGGTGTTAACAGCCTTTCTACGAGGGGTTGCAAGGTGTCCTTTCCCCGACGGTCGACCCTGCAGTATTATGCTGCTTGGTCAGTCACCCAGAAGCTGCAAGAAGCACTGCCTTCTACAACCATTCGTCAAGTTCTTGGACTTCCCTCTTCTGGTACTGGTGAAGCTCATGATCCCAGTTTACGGTCAATGATGAAGTATCTTGTGGGAATGTTGGCTTTGCTTTTACCTTGCCAACTAAAGACTAGAGCAAAGGAAATCGTCTGTCTTTTAAAAGATTTAGGGGTAAAGAAGGCATCTCAGTGGCTAGAGTATATCGAGGAGGCAAAGGCGGAAGCTACAATCAAAGACGAAATATTAAAGGAAATGGGTGATGAATGGGAAGTAGAGGATTTTGCTATAACTTCAACTCTTGTTGATTTAAGCAAGGAAACTCAACCTCGTCATCTGTCTCTTGTCGCTACCAGGTGCCCAAGTAACTATCCGCATTTAAAAAAAATTCTTAAAGTCTGTGCAGCCTCTCCTGAGCTAAGATTGTCGCTTCACCTATATCAGCACTTTTGGTCAGAGAAAATTAACTTGTCAGATAAGTTCTTGGACACTGTGACAAGTGGAGATTCACCATGCGTGATGGAACACTTTGCTGGACGTCTGAGTTCTACAGCCATCACCAGACTCCCAGCATCGCTGAAAAGGTTAGCTATCCACATCACTCCAGATATGTTGGAAACTCTCAAAACTACTCTTCCGTTGCTTAAAGCTTTGGAAATGCTGTATTTAAACTTAGATGCTTCTACAACAACGGATCCCAAAACAATTCCACCCTTGAATATCTCTGAGAGACCTATTGCACTTTCTGTGGACATATGGAAAATTACTAAGGCTACTGTTGAGTGGTCGTGTGATATCGTGAAAGCTCTGTCCAGAACTTACACACGCCTGGTTTTGCGAGGCAGTGAGCTAGACGCTGATGGTTGCGAGAGGTGGATGGAGGGTCTGCGACACAGAGGTGTCACCGCTTCCTGGCTGGTCGTGGGCTCCACCTCGCATATCACCCACCACCAACAAACTCATCTACAGCGATCTGCTGCTAAAATCAGGTGCGAAAAATTTATATGGATTAAAGTGTAAATATACATAATCAAATGGGCCCATATTGTATATACAATATGGGCCCATACTCAAGGACCCCAATGGAAATAAATGAAGGGCCCCAATGAAAATTAATCACTTTCTTTTACTTTACATGTTACTATACAAAACAGTAGTAAAAATCTAAACTTGTGCAATGTACCTGAATAAACTTAACTTAGTTCGGTTACAACTAGACAAATAAAAACAGTTAACTGGTCGAGTACATCAATGATCAAAAAATGTTATACGGTAAAACAAGATTCGATTTCTTATTTTTAGTACTGCTTAAAGAGGTTGATGAGAATAATACATACATACTTATATATATATATATATATATATATATATATATATATATATATTATATATATATAGTGTGTGTGGTGGTGTGTGTGTATGTGTGTGTGTGTGTGTGTGTGTGTGTGTGTGTGTGTGTGTGTGTGTGTTAGTTACCATTTGTCCTAGGCACATGTCGATTAGACACTAGGCTGTTGTATGTGCATGCATGTGTGTGTTAGTGTGGTGTGTGTGTGTTAGTTAGTTACCATTTGGTCCTAGGCACATGTCGATTAGACACTAGGCCTGTTGTATGTGCATGCATGTGTATGTGTTGTGTTGTGTGGTGTGTGTGTGTGTGTGTAGTGTGGGTGTGTGGTGTTGTGGTCTCACCTAATTGTGAGTTGTGTGTGTTGGGGTTATATGTGGCTTTTGCCAAGAAGGTGTTGGGAATGAATGGTTGTCCAGAGCAATTGGTATTAATTGTTGGCTGGATAAACACTGTAAGGATAATGCAGTACCATTCATTGACAACTGGGACAACTTCTATGGCCGAAATGACATGTATGCCAGGGATGGGGTTCACTTATCCAGGGCAGGTGTGGGCTTTCTTGCTAGTTCAGTTCAGGGGGTTGTTAGGACTTTAAACTTGGATTAGTTAGAGGTATGGGTTTAGAAATGATAAATAATGAGTATGGATACATTGACCCACGCTCTGACATTAAGAACCCCAATAGCAACTGTCATGGAGCAGCTCTGGGCAATGATAAATTCAGAAATTGTGTAAAATCAAAGATCAATAGGAAAAATGTGCAGTAGAAAAAACATATGATGGTATTCCATGCCAACAGTCGAAGTGCAAGAAACAAAATTAATGAACTACGCTTGGTAGCATGTGCTGGGAACCCTGATATCATTGCATTAACTGAAACGTGGTATGATTCAAAGAGTCGGGACACGACTGCTGAGCGTAATATTCAGGGATCTAAGTTGTTCAATGTTGATAGATGTAATGGGAAGGGGGGAGGAGTTGCATTATATGTTCGAGAAAATATTAATTGTTGCATAAAAACAGGTATAAAAATAGATGGAGCAGTAACAGAATCTGTTTGGGTAGAGTTTGCAGAGGGTCAAGAAAAACCAATTCCAGGTGTAATATACCGACCTCCAGGCTTGGATCACGATAGAGGGAGACTTCTTTGGGACGAAATTGTTAGGGCTTCTAGACACAATAACATAGTCATAGTTGGGGACTTTAATTTTGGCCAAATTGACTGGAATTCTTTGACAGGTAATCTAGAGTCCAGTGACTATGGAAACAGTTCAGGACTGTTTTCCGAAGCAGTGCGTAACGGAGCCTACCAGGGGTAACAACCTGCTAGACCTAGTCTTGTCAAATAAGGAAACACTCGTAAATAATTTGGAGATCACTGAAGAGCTTGGCGCAAGTGATCACAAATCCATCACTTTTAGCATTAACTGGGAATGCAAGAATATTGATAATACAATAAAAATCCCTGATTTTCGTTCTGCCGATTATAATGGACTTAGGGAACACCTGTCTAATCTTGATTGGGGTTATCTAGCTAATGATTTTATTGACGATGATCATACTTATGATTATGAAGGGATCTGCTTTTATGATTGTTTTCTTAATAATGTACACCGTGCCCAGAGTATATACATTCCCCAGAGAGAAATTAGGTCTAATAACAACGATCCCAAATGGGTTAACAGTAGGTTGAAGCATCTATTAGGGGAGAAAAGGGGAATTTATAGGCGCATCAGAAGAGGAGAGGTTAACCTTACTGACCAATATGTTCAGCTTAAAAGAGAAGTAAAAAAGGGATTAGAAAGGCTAAACGTGACTATGAAATTAGAGTTGCTAATGAATCAAAGACTAATCCAAAGGGGTTCTTTCAAGTGTATAGGACGAAGGTGAAGGAAAAAGTAGGACCTCTGAAAATTGGGAATGGACAGCTGACGGATAATGAACTGGAAATGTGTTCCCTATTTAATGACTATTTTTTGTCAGTTTTTACACAGGAAGATGTAAATGAGATTCCAGTAATTAACAATTATTTAGTTCCTGATGAATTTAAATTAACTAATATTACTGTCACGAGGGACATGGTTATTAAACAGATAGACAAACTGAAGCAAAATAAGTCCCCTGGACCTGATGAGCTGTTTTCCAGGGTACTTAAGGAATGCAAGATGGAGCTCCGTCAGCCATTAACGAGTGTATTCAATACGTCCATCCTTACCGGTGTTGTGCCAGAGTTGTGGAAGATGGCCAATGCGGCTCCTATATTCAAATCAGGGGACAAGTCCACTCCTTCAAATTACCGTCCAATAAGCCCGACATCTATAGTGGGCAAGTTATTAGAATCAACTATAGCTGACATTATCAGAAGTCACCTCGAAGAGCATAACTTGATAAATGAATCCCAGCATGGATTCACGAGAGGTCGTTCCTGCCCGACAAACTTACTGACGTTCTTCAATAGAACATTTGAGGCAGTTGACAGTGATAAGGAATATGATATTGTTTATTTGGATTTTAGTAAAGCCTTCGATAGAGTACCTCACAAGAGACCTGTGTGTGTGTATGTGTGTGTGTGTGTATGTGTGTGTGTGTGTATGTGTGTGTGTGTTATGTGTGTGTGTGTGTGTGTGTGTGTGTGTGTGTGTGTGTGTGTGTGTGTGTGTGTGTGTGTGTGTGTGTGTGTGTGTGTGTGTGTGTGTGTCGGGCGATCTTAACAATGCAAGAGAAGCCACGGGGGGTGGAAATTTTTAGCTCAAGTACTTTCACACTTCTTAGTGTGTCATCAGGAGCTAGGCAGTGTTGCAAGAGAGCAACTAAAGCAGGGAGAGAGTTTTCTCAAGAGTAGCATAGTGCGGATGTGTCACCAGCTACGATTACCCTTAGAATGGTCGGTGCCAACCCCACCCTTCCACCATCCCCCTACTCCCCATATGGGGTAGGATGGTTTCTGAGATGTCAAGTATGAAATCACAAGAAACTAAATGTAAATTATGTGATCAGGCATATGGTCACTGTCTTGAACACTATGTGCTTAATAGTCCACTTATTGAGGAATACAGAGACAGACAGTATAATAACCTATGTGACATGTCAAGATATCTTATTAATGAAAATAAGATACCAGATATACTAAGCAAATTTCCTAAATTTGCTTGTAACAGATAAGTGAACTATAGATATGTAGATATAAATCCATATGTATTCCTGTTAACCCTTTGGGGCCTAGTTCCTAGGCCTTTTGTGTATCCATATGCTCTCGCGCTACCGTCCACAGGATGGATATGGGGTGCACAATAAACTAGCCACTTCGGTGGCAAAATCTAATCTAAGATATAATAGCCAGCCCAAAGCTTATTCTAGTCGTTTATAATAGGTCATGTGATTTGAGAAAATACGTTTCTCGTTGGATACTATACACATGGATTGTTATTATTCTGTGTAACCTTTTTAAATAATAAAAGAAAAGAATAGAATGTGCTCTTTGTCCATTTAAATGTCCTGCTCTGGGGTACCGAATGTTCTGTCGAGGTACTCAGAAGTATCTCTTCCTAAATATTGTTTACTATTCTTCTCAGTGTCGGTTAATGCGCCTGACTTGGAAATCTTCTTTGCCTTTCTAATAATATTTCTATGATCTAAATTTCCAATTTCTGCTAATACCCTTTAATCTCTCCTTGTGTTATCTTGTAATCTTGTGTGTTTGTTTCCAGTTCCCCGAATTAAGCCTGAATGCCTTCCACATCCCCCCCCCCCCAGGCGCTGTATAATCCTCCGGCTTTAGCGCTTCCCCCTTGATTATAATAATAATAATGTGTGTTTGTCACTGTATGGTACACTAACAGCTAAACGTGTTATATAACCATTCACAACTGACGTGGTATGAAGTTTTGGTGTGTAGCTGACCAAGTAAACAGCCATTTTAATAAACACCTTAAGGAAAGGGCAAGCCTAGGATTGTCTCTCCAAGGGCTTTGACGAAGTTTCGGAGCAGGGAAACCCTTTTTCCCCCATGGCTTGGACGACAGTAGAGTACCCAACAGGACAGGGGAATGGGCGGGTGTAGGTGACCTCCCCTTCCCCAGGGCTTGGACGACAGTAGAGTACCCAACAGGACAGGGGAATGGGCGGGTGTAGGTGACCTCCCCTTCCCCAGGGCTTGGACGACAGCAGAGTAACCAACAGGACAGGGAATGGGCGCGTGTAGGTGACCTCCCCTTCCCCAGGGCTTGGACGACAGTAGAGTACCCAACAGGACAGGGGAATGGGCGGGTGTAGGTGACCTCCCCTTCCCCAGGGCTTGGACGACAGCAGAGTAACCAACAGGACAGGGGAATGGGCGGGTGTAGGTGACCTCCCTTCCCAGGGCTTGGACGACAGTAGAGTACCCAACAGGACAGGGGAATGGGCGGGTGTAGGTGACCTCCCCTTCCCCAGGGCTTGGACGACAGTAGAGTACCCAACAGGACAGGGTAATGGGCGTGTGTAGGTGACCTCCCCTTCCCCAGGGCTTGGACGAGGCTTGGCGAGCCAGCGAGTCTACGAAATGGATCGTAAAACTTAAAAGGTTAATAGGTGACCAGAGGGAAAGATGTGCATGCTGGTGGGCAGGGTAGGTACCTGGGCGATGTCTAGGGAAGGTGCCTGGGGCGATGTCTAGGGGAGATACCTGGGTCGATGTCTAGGGGAGGTACCTGGGGAGATGTCTAGTGATGATACCTGGGGTAATATCTGAGGGAGGAACCTGGAGATGTTTAGGGGTGGTACCTGGGGTGTTGTCTAGGGGTGGGATCTGGAGAAGTGAGGAGGGATGGTACCTGAGTGATGTCTGTGGAAGGTACCTGGGATAATGTTTTGGTGGGAGATGCTGAGGGTAATACTAGCTGTAAGAGTGTTTGAGTGAGGCATTGTATGTAAAGATTCTCTCTCTCTCTCTCTCTCTCTCTCTCTCTCTCTCTCTCTCTCTCTCTCTCTCTCTCTCTCTCTCTCTCTCTCTCTCTCTCT